GTACAACTAAAAATGCTTCTATAGGTGATTTGCATCCTCATGGGTATAATTATTCAGGTTCAGACTATGAAACCCACCTTTATTACAATTAGGTATTGAAAGATAGGCCCTAAGAAGGGATGCTCCAAAATATCACTTCATCTACATAGCAGACTCTGGTGACTGACTGTCCAGAACAGGTTTGGTTCCAGTTCCAGACTCAGGAATGAGAATCAGGGGGTGTGGTAGGATGTCTCTATCTGTGGGGGTTACTTAGACCTTTGACCCAGGACATGGAAGGGGTGGGTGTGGAAGGACTTTCAGCGATTTGAAATGAGGACCACAGCATGATCTTTGGGCTTCTGCTATCCACCAGAGTAAAATCAAGGGAAAGTGAAAACCCTCAAGGATAAATGAAACACCTCACCTCTTAGGAGGACCCAGTTGGCCTCATCCAACCAGAACCAGCCAAAGGTAGGCAGGAAGTGGAAAAGACTTGAAGGATTTGAAAGGTTAACACATTATCCATGTACTAAAAACACAAAAGCCTCTTTATTCCTATTTTAATAGTTTGCTAATTTCCTAGCACACAGCAGATTAGGGCCGGATAGAGGCCGGCTCAGTGATGCAGGAAAAAGTCACAGGGGGAAGTGGCAGCTGACAGTGTGACACTAGGGAAGACACAACACAGTGTGAAGGCAGGTGGACAGTCTGGCATGGTCACCACACGCAGAGCAACTCCGCAGCATTTAAAGTCAGCAGAGGAGCCCTCTTGTTCCTTTGCTGCCACCTCTCGTTCTCCCCAGTGGAGAGGAGCAAGCATCGCGCTTTGCAGTCTAGCCTGCAGGATCTCAGATAATTCTCATCACCTGATGTCATTCGTATGCAAGTAAGGCCAAAGGGACCAACCATCTCAGTTTGCCCAGAAGTGACGGCGTCCTGTCTGTCCCTTCTCCCCCCACAAAAAGTAGACCCTCTCACCTAAACCGTCAGCATTAATACAAGTGGACCCTCCATTCTTCCCTGATAACTCTAATTTGGCCTTTAGCCATGATTTTGGTACCAGTTGTTGGTAGGACCAGTTGCCCTCAGTGAAAAGGCCTAGAAGCAGATGGAGGAGGATCCAGTAAGCCCTCTCTGAACATACTGAACTTTTGACCAAAGAACCATGGACCAAACCACTTGACTCTGCCAGGCCGTGCTCCTGGATCACACCGCTTTTCTTTCCAGTGCTTCCCAGCGAGAAGCTGCTACGTTTCCTCCTCAGCGTGAACTGTTGGCTTTTTGTTCCCCTTGCCAGGTGATTGGCATGCACTACTTCTCTCCTGTGGACAAGATGCAGCTGCTGGAGATTATCACAACCGAGAAGACGTCTAAGGACACGACTGCGTCCGCTGTAGCAGTTGGTCTCAAGCAGGGGAAGGTCATCATTGTAGTTAAGGTAAGGAGCTGTGGAACAAAGCGGCAGACTTGGATAAGTTTTATTAAGACTCCTCATCCCTCCAGGCTTATTTATAACTCGTTCCTTTTGATAGGACTTCCCCTTGATTGTGTACAGTATGGATAGTGGTGTTGACTGTACCACTGAGTCAGGGTTGGAGTGGGGCAAGTCTGGGACGTGGCAGGTTCCCAGCCTTTCGGTGACCATGAAACCGCATGCTGTGCTCTTGGATTCCAGCCCTGCTGCTCCTGGCTGTGGCTTCCCTTGCCATTTCATTTTAAGGATTCTGATTGAGGTTATGATCACCTTGAACTCTGAAATGATATCTGGGAAAGGGAGGCTGCTTTCAGACTTGGGTAGTATCTGCAACAGAGGGGCCCCAAGTTCATGTTCTCCCCCTTGGCAGGATGGACCTGGCTTCTATACCACGAGGTGTCTCGCACCCATGATGTCTGAAGTCATCAGAATTCTCCAGGTTGGTATTGCTCTCGGAATGTTTGAGGCCTCTTCCACACCTTAAACCAGTCCCCTGAACTGCTGATGTCAGGATGAGAAGCTTCCTTCTAATGCACTACCCCTGACTCTTCTCCAAGAAGGCCCTTTCGTGGCATCCCTTTCTGCACGGGAGTGGGGAGGCATAGGCTCTGCTCCATTAGTCCACAGGCCTCCCAGCATGCTCTTCTGTGCTGTTTCTGCATCCCCTTAGCGACAGGGGCCATCCAGAACAGAGCCTGCATGGTCTGATTGGTGTTGTGTCTGCTTCTGTGCAAGCCCATCCCCCCGGTGGCCCTACAGGTCATTCACAGGCACTTAGACACAGGATCCCGGGGCTCTGCAGCACTGCTTCTTGGACTCTCTCTCCTCTCAGTCCTGGGAACCAGCCCTGTCTGCCATGGAATCTTCTGGTTATTGAGATTCAGAATTGCAGACAAGGAAATGAATACCTTTCATCTCTAGACTTCCTTAAAGGTTAGGGAAGGCTCAGACTTTTTGCCTGTGTGACTCCCAAACCTCTTGTGTTTCCCTGACTGAAACAGCCCCAGTCCTGGGCCTGGCCAGGTGGCAGCCAGAAGAGAAGTGGCTGTTGCACAGGGAACCCGTGTGGGGGACCAGGGATGGCCTTCCCCTGAGGTCCCTGCTTTCCTTCCCATTCAGGAAGGCGTTGGCCCTAAGAAGCTGGATTCCCTGACCACGGGCTTTGGCTTTCCTGTGGGTGCTGCCACACTGGTGGATGAAGTTGGTGTTGATGTAGCAAAACATGTAGCAGAAGACCTAGGCAAAGCCTTTGGGGAGAGGTTTGCAGGTGGAAGCCTGGAGCTGCTGAAACAGATGGTGGCCAAGGGCTTCCTGGGTGAGTATCCTCAAAGAAACACAATGAGCTCCATCAGTCACAAGTTCCGAACAGCTTTTGGAGACCAAGGAGTTACAGAGGCCCATGTGTGTTTCCTGGTATCATAGGGAATTTCAAAAATGACTGCATGACAACCTCTCCTTAGTGTGGGCCTGTGGATTATGGACAAAAGGTAAAACCCTGGCCTTCTGAAGCTCCGCCACTACCTGGCCCCAGTTACGCCAGATCGACGAGTATTTTCCTCCTGCCCAGGGCCTCAGACATCTGTGACCTGCATGACCATGCTGCTGGCCACCTGTGTGGAGAAAGTAGCTCTACCTACAGAGTGTACAGTTGAGGCCCACCGAGAGGTGGCTTTCTCTTTTGAAAGTAGCAGCAAAAAGCAGCAAAATCAGTGCCAGGACCTGGGCATCCCAGGTCGTGGTGTTGCACATCTGGGCATTAAAACTCACCCAGCTGGCCTTTCCCATACAGATACAAAGATGTCCAAACCCTAAGACCTCTCTTCCTGCTCTGTGAGCTCTCTGACAAACACCAGATGTCTAGGGTTAGCTAGATTCAAAACTCGGGAACACAGGCAAGAGGCAGGAGAGGCGGGAGCTTTACCGCAGACCAGCAGGGAGGGAAGTGATTTCTCAGGCCCGGGCTCTAAGAATTTTAACTCTACCTTTTCCTGCTTCTAGGTCGCAAGTCTGGGAAGGGCTTTTACGTCTACAAGGAGGGTGTGAAGAGTAAGGATTTGAATTCTGAAATGGATAGTGTTTTGGCAGGCCTGCAGGTGTCTCCTAAGCCTGAAGTGTAAGTCAATTTGAGTGGCTTATGGCATGGAAACGTTCCTCATCAGCCAAAGCTTCTCAGCCCCTCTTCCGTCTCTGTTATGATCACCGTACCTGACTGTGAACACCCCCGATGCTGGCATAGTGCTCTGTACTTTTGCCTTCTGCATGCCACCTCATTCTCTGCCCGCATCAGGGGAGAACTGCCGCCCAGCCTTGGTAGACCCCTGCTCCAGCCTTCCCTCTGAAGGTCCCAGAGAGCAGCTAGAAAGACCGTTGTCCCAGGCCCCTTCTGGCTCCACACCCTTTAGTATCGTTTGTAATTGGCCATTGCTGATACCTAGAGGTGCTTATCTAGCTGTTGCAGATCCTGTTCTAGGTGCTGTTTCTGGTTAATCAGGGCAAGTAGCTCTACCCAGTCTTTTTCCGGGAAAGGCTGGCCTCCCGGCAGCACCTTCTCTAAAGCTGGAGTCGAGCTCTCATCCCTGTGTGGCTCCTGCAAGCCTCCCTCCTGCTCTTCTCTGCCTGAATGCCCCTCCCTGTTGGCAGCTCCTCTGACGAAGACATCCAGTACCGCCTGGTGTCGCGGTTCGTGAACGAGGCCGCCATGTGCCTGCAGGAAGAGATCTTGGCCACACCTGCAGAGGGAGACATCGGAGCGGTCTTTGGACTCGGCTTCCCCCCCTGTCTTGGAGGTGGGCCTTGGAGGTTGGGGAGGTAGCTTGCTTTATCTTAGAGCTCGTATGGCTGTCTCCTTCAACAAAGTCCTGCTTCCCCCGCAGGGCCCTTCCGCTTCGTGGATCTGTATGGTGCTCAGAAGATAGTGGACCGGCTCAAGAGGTACGAGGCTGCCTACGGGAAACAGTTCACCCCATGCCAGCTGCTGATCGACCAGGCTAGCGCTAACAAGAAGTTTTACCAGTGAGCAGCTCACACCTGCTCGCTCCCCACTAACCCACCTGCCGCAGTGCTGGTCTCCAACAGTGGCACCTAGATTTATCCGTAACCGGAGGGAAGACAAACACTGGCATTGGGTGTGTGCCTTGATTAAAGTGCCTTCGGCTAAGACGGTCTCTTCCTCCCGGTGAAGTCTGGCTGTGTTTGCACTTCCTGTTGGAAGGTGGAACCCACTGTGCTCACGAATCTATGAGCCCAAGACCCAAAGTGGCAGCGTTCCTCCCAGGAAGCCAGTGGTGGTGAGGGCAGTCACACACTCAGCCAAACACAGGATAATAAAAACCAAACTTATTTATCAGCCTCCCTGCCTGCTTGTTCCTTTTTCTACTGTCTTTGCCCTTCTGGTTTAAACCCCTCCTTCAAGGAGTGGGCTGGGAGAAGGCCTATGCTTTGGGGTAAGAATGTTGACTTCTGAGCAGCACCTGAAGGGAGAGACTGTGATACAGAGGGCGGGACTTTCTGAGGCTGAAGCCTTGTAAACCTGACTATTTAAATGCTTTGGCTGGGCTCCTGCTTACAGTGGGAAGTGGCCCTGACTAACCAGGTATGGAGGACCAGGATAAAACACTCTCCCTAGACTGCATTTCCTCGTTGCAGTTTTACCCAGTTTTCTCTTGGTGTGACACATTCACACATGCTTCTCAGGGTGTTTGTGGGAAGGTTGGCATTAATCAGAGGAGATCACATTTTCCTGGTCACTGATTCCTGCACCTCTCAGCTGCACCTCAGCATGGGAAATGCCTGCACATGTGAGTAGTACAGGGGATGCTGAGTCAGCCCACCACCTCCTCCACTCTGCGAGACCCTCCTCTCCTCCCCTACGCCCTGCCCTCTGCTGTGGGAAGTTCCTACACTCATGTTCTGGCAGAAGCAGGGCCCAGTCTGGGTAAACAGCATCGAGGCTCTTAGCTCGTTCTGGCAGAAGGATCCACGCTGAGTGTGTGCGGAATCATTCATGTCCCATCACTGCGCCTTCTCAACTTTGAGAAGTTACCGGTTCCTCCTGCCTCTGTGCCAGTTTGAGTGCAACAAGTACTTCAGACATTGCCTGGACCAGTTCTGTTGTTGGGACTGCCAGGCAAGGACCTTAACTCTGGCTCTACTAAACACTGACGGTTGCTAGGAAGCCAGGCTCTAAAACCAAGTCGTCTCTGAGTTGGGGTTTTCAGATGACCAGTCCGCAGGTAGAGAACTGATCCTTGCACCACAGCCATTAACAGGCTTCAGGCCCTCGCTAGTTTGGCTCAGTGGATAGAGCGTCAGCCTGTGAACTGAAGGGTCCTGGGTTCAATTCTAGTCAAGGGCACATGCCCGGGTTGCAGGCTCAATCCCCAGTAGGGGGTGTGCAGGAGGCAGTGGATCAATGAGTCTCTCTCATCACTGATGTTTCTATCTGCCTCTCCCTTCCTCTCTGATATCAATTAAAAAAATCTTTAAAAAAAAAACAAAAAACAGGCTTTAGAACATGGGGCTCTGAGCGCCTCAAAGCAGGCGGTCTGCCAGCGCAGGAAGTTGAACCTGGGCCCAGGCTGGTGGCATGGAGCTTTGAAGTCTGGTCCTTCCACTGAACAGCACTAGCTAGGTGTGAATTCCATTGGAACAGCTGTGGGAGCTAAAAAGTTCTTTAGGGCAGGGGCTTGTGAGGGGCTTTTGCAGGGAATCGGGGCAGCACTACCAGCCTTTTCTGGGGACACTGGATGGGCTGCAGGCACACACCATCCCAAGTCCTCTCCTGTGGGGCATGCCCACCATTCCTTCACGGGAAGAAAGCAGCCGACAGCGGAGTTGCACCGGCACTGTCCTCAGCGTCTAGCGTTTATTTCACGAGTCCTCGGGGATTCATTACCTGATCAGCAAGGAAACCCAATGTCTCCACATCGGTCTCTGTGCTGTTTCCTGACTCCCTTCCCTCAGAGCTGAGGAGGCCTGCTTGGGGCACAGGCACCAGCATGGCTTTGCTATTCTCAAGGCAGGAAATAAATATCTAGGTCGGCTGGGTAAGGCAGAAGGCTGGTACCTCTGGGGCCTGGCCCTAGTGAGCATGAGAAGTAATGTGGTCTGGGCAGGTGAGACGGGAAGAGCATGGGGGACGACGGGCAGTTGCACACAACAACCAACCTGCCCTGGGTGCCATGGACCACCATGCTCGAGATCCAGGGCCCAAAGGCCTGTCCGAAAGCACGTGAGCAAGAGCAGGTCTTCCCAAGCCACTGTGCTGCCTCCCACCCATCCCACCTGCGACTATTGACAGGAAACCAGGGGACACCAGGTGTTTGCCAGAGTCAAGTGATGGAGGCAGGAGGCCAGTGCAGGTGGGAGTGATTGAAAGCCACTTGTCAGAATCAAGGAGCAGCCGACTGATCAGCCTGCTCTTCCGTGGGGTCTGAGTCTTCGCAGACTGGACCCACCCTGGCAGGATGAGGGCTAGTTGCACTGAGCTCAGGAGAACCCAGGGCGCCAGTAGGCATCTGCCTCCCTAATGAGCTACGTCCATTAACAGCAGCACTGTGCTCTTCCAAAGTCAGCGCCCGCGAACCAGAACCTGGAGCGGGGCTCTGAGGTGAAAGGCACGGGCTTGTACTGGATACACCTGTGCTCAGGGCCAGGGACCTACTCAAGCTGCAGCAGAGGCGGGGAGGGAAGGGCATCGCAGCGCAGAGGTCCTGAAATTGGCACCCCGACCCTGGGGCAGCTTAGGCCAAAAGCCCCCAGAGCACAGAGAGAGGGCACTTGGGGGATTTGTGCTTAAATTACGGACTCCCTTCCTGCTGACCGGCACCTACAAACTGGAGAAGTGCGAGTTGTCTGTGAGGATCTTCAGAGTGTGGGACGGTGTTAGGTCACCATGAGGCCAGCTTTTGACCCCACCATGGGAGTCAGCCAGTGCCTCACCAGGTGCAGGTGCGGCACACTGTCCTCTGCACACTCCAAGGCAAGCCGTCCCCATGCAGGGGTCTGGTCCCAGAGGACCCCATTTCCAAGTGTGGCTCCCCTGGATTCACAGAGTGGCTACCTGGCACCCTCACAGGCAGCACTGTCCCCTGCAGACCGTGGCTGGCCTCGGGCCTCTGTGCCAGCCTTCCGGTTGCGCAGCTACAAGCTGGCAAGGTCAGATCTTGGGCCGCCAGCCTTTGATGAACTGCATGATCTTCTTGACCTGAAGCTTGGTGAGGTGGAAGTCGTCAGCCAGGATGTCCTCACTGAGCTGCACAAAGATACTGCCATCGATCCGTTCTCGGGCAAAGAAGCTCACCACGTCCTCGGAGAGCCCGATGAAACGCAGGCTGCGAGAGACCTCCTCCAGAGAGAGCGCAGACAGGTCGGCGGGGGGCTGCCAGGAGGCCTCCCGGCCGCCCCAGCCTGTGGCGCCCTCCCGGGGACTGGCAGGAGGCCCTTCCAGGCGCCCTTGGGTGAGAAGGAGGCGTGCTCCACCTGCCTTGGGCCCCTTCGGGGCCGCTGGTGACAGTGGAGTGGGGACCTGCCGTAACACTAACCCTTCAGGCTCAAAGGCCTTGGGGGGTCCAAGAGGTGAAAGGCGGGGTCCAGGCCCAGGTACCCCCACAGCTCTGGGCTCCTGACAGCGCAGCAACTCCGGCTCTGGAGAACCTCCCTGCCCCAGCTCAAAGGGGTCAAAGGGCTCCAGGGCCGATTCCTGCCACTCAGAGGAGGAGGAGGAGGAGGTGGGACAGGAGGAGGTGGGTGCAGCCGAATAGGCCGGGCCTGGGGAGCCCGGGCCTGGGGAGCACGCAGGGCTGGAGGTAGCCAGGGCGGCCGAGACGGTCGTGGGCCCCGAAGAGGAGGCCGCTGAAGGGCCTGAGGAGTAGGCAGGCCCGGAAAAGGGGTTGAGGGCTCCAAACGGAGCAAAGCGTTTCTGGGGGTGAGAGGGCTTGAGAAGGGGGGGCGGGCAGCCGTGGTAGGTCTTGGCAGGGGCGTCAGCCCCCAAGAGGGAGGCAGCTCGACTGCTCAGGGGCTCTGCGAGGGCCCGTGGGGCCTGGCTGGGCTGCGTGGTGGAGGGCAGGGGTCCCGGCGGTGGGGGGCGGCTAGAGGACTCGCCCACTTTGCAGTCTCCCCAGGTGCACGGGTAGCAATACAGGGAGTAGGCATCTGGTGACGGGGAGCCACTGCCACTGCGGGAACCCGTCCTGTGGGCAGAGAGACAGACACATACGGAGGGTAAGACAGAGCAAGAGGGAAACACGCCAGGTCACACCCATGGCCCTGCAAACCCCCACTCTGCTGGCCACAGAGGCCGCCACTCCGATCTCGGCAACACAGGCCCGTACCCCAGCCCTCAAGGCCCGGGACCTCTGGGGTTGCTCCATTCTTTCTTCAGGTATCCCCAACCCCAGGAAAAAGTCAATGAAACTGAATTAGGGAAAAAATGTTAAATAGCAAGGAACACTTCATCCTGGGGCAGAGTCCCCGCCTGGAAGGAACCAGCGCAATGTTCCCGTCCAATCCTCACATTTAGGAAAACAGCGAACTGAAGCAGGACCGTGGAGAGCAGTGACTGGGCCCCAGCCCCCCACCGAGTGCCCTCCCCTCGGTACCGCTCAAGGACCTGCACCCGCTGAACCCCCAGCCTGCAGTCTTCCCTTCCTCGGCCTGGACTCCCTTCCTCTTTCCCCTGCCTCAACCCACCACAGGAGAACGGGGGCCAGGAGCGGAAAGGGCTCACCCATCCTGGAGGCCAGAGGAGTAGTAGGAGAGGCTGGAGCTGGGCGAGTGGACAGGCTGCAGCTTGGGGAAGCGTGGGGGTACCGGGGGGCTGCCAGGGAGCCAGCCGCTGCCACTGCCACCCCGGGGCGGCACGGGCGGGGCGTTGAGAAGCCGGCACTCCTCCTTCACCTGCAAGCAGAGGGCATGACTCCACCTCCGTCCCCAGGCAGCTGACACTCCTTCTTTCTCTTCCCGAACAACTAACTCTGAGACTCTTTGCCCCACTTTGCCAAGAGGCTGCCTGGCCTCACGCCCCACCTCCTCCACCAGCCACCTACCCTACCCACCCCACCCCTCCTCCTCTCTCCAGCCTGTTTCACTTCTCAAGAGCCCACAACATACAGTCTTCTACTGCCTTGGAAATCTATAAAGAATGTCAGAAAAAGAATATAGAAAAGTAGATTAAAAAACAATCAGAAAGCCCTCGCTGGCTTGGCTCAATGGATGGAGCATCAGTCTACGGACTGAAGGGTCCCAACTTCGATTCCATCAAGGGCGCATGCCCGGATTGCCGCCTCGATTTCCAGTGTGGGGTGTGCAGGAGGCAGCCGATCAACGGTTCTCTCTCATCATTGATGTTTCTGTCTCTCTCTCCCTCCGTCTCTCTTCCTCTCAGAAATCAATAAAAAAAAAATTTTTTTTTTAAAAAGTAGAGCCCTTGCCCTAACCGGTTTGGCTCAGTGGATAGAGCATCGGCCTGCGGACTCAAGGGTCCCGGTTTGATTCCCGTCAAGGGCATGTACCTTGGTTGCGGGCACATCCCCAGTGGGGGGTGTGCAGGAGGCAGCTGATCAGTGTTTCTCTCTCATCGATGTTTCTAACTCTCCCTCTCCCTTTCTGTAAAAGGTCAATAAAATATATTTTTAAAAAAAAAAAAAGTAGAGCCCTGTCTTACTCTTAAAAAAAAATCAGAAAAATAGACATTCCCTCCACACACAAAAAGGAAAAAAGAGGGAAGAGGCATTGTGGGAGGGGATTAACGTGTCTGTAAAGTATCTGCCATCTGCATCTCTTACTCAAAGGTCAAATACTCAAAGTGGCCTCCATGGGTGTTAATAGGCGTTGTCCATATTCTGCGCACATGTAAGCTGGGAAATTCTGCGTTAAACACAGATAAGCAGGTTTCCTCAGCGCAGGTCTTCTCAGAGCCTCAATGTCCCAGTCGCTGGAACTCCGAAGCGGAGAAGAGTGAGGGCTGGAGTCCTACACACGCTTTCTAACCTCATTTCACCATGGAACCTGCTTTTCACTGGGCAACTTCAAAGCCTGTTCCGTGAAACCGTCTGGGTCCCGCTGTGCTAGGCATCTTTGTCCCACGGCCCCCAGGCCGCCGTCCCTGGTGTCCCCAAGTACAAACGCTCTTGCCACCCTGTCCCCACGCACCGGCCACCCTCTGCCCCACACTCCAAGAGCCGGCCACCCAGGGGGATCTGCTTCGAAGGCCCAAGCGGAGCCCCCTGGCTGGCCCCTCCCCCCCCGGAGGCCAGGGCGACAGAGCTCAGCGCCCCGCCGGCCACTCACAGCTTCGGACTTGGGAGGGACGGGAGGCGGCGGCGCCTCGGGCTCCAGGCGGGGCGGGCCGGTGCCGAAGTTGATGAGGTCGGGGCCCGGGGGCGGCCGGGGGCGGCCCTCCGCCAGGCCCTCGGCCGCCTGGTGCGCCCACAGCTCCTCGTAGGGGATCTCGGCGGGCGAGGCGGCGGGCTCGGGCGCGCCGGCCCAGTCGGGGCTCACGTACTCCTGGTCGCCGTCGCGGGGCGGGCCGGGCGGGCTGGGCGCGCGGGCGGGCGCGGGGCCCCGCGGGGGCGCGGGCAGGCAGAGGCGCGCGCGGCGGGGGCTGGCGCCGTCGTCGGCCAGCTCGGCGGGCGCCTCGCGCACGGCCGTGGAGTACTCGTCGGGGTCGAAGCGCTCGCGGCAGTAGGAGGCGCTGTCGCGCACCAGGCGCTCCACGCGCGGGTCCCCCGCCAGCAGGCCCTGCGGCAGCGCGAAGCGCGGCGTGTCGGTGAGCAGCAGGAAGTGCAGCGGCGCCGGGCCCTCGCGGCGCAGCGCCAGCCCCAGCACCACGGTCTTGGAGATGATGCTGACCAGCTTGTAGCAGTGGCCCTCGCGCACCGGGTGCAGGTCGTAGGGGTTGCGCGGCGGCCGGCTGGGCACCAGCACGTTCACCGGCAGCCGCACGCGCTCGATGATGGCGCGCACCGTGTGCTCGCCCTCCTGCATCTGCAGCTCCAGCGGGCTGCGCGTGCTGAAGCGGCCCTGGCACTGGAAGGGCAGGCTCAGGCTCTCGTTGGTGCGGTGGTTCATGCAGATGAGGCAGGGCATCTTGCCTTTGACGGGCCGGGCGCCCCCGCCCGCGGCCCCGGCGCCGCCCGGCCCGCCCACCCCGGCCAGCGCCCCCGCCCGGCCCAGCTTGCGCAGCAAGGACGTGAAGCGCGAGCGCTCCTTGGTGGTCTTGGCGCACAGGATCTCCGCCTGGCCCATGAGCGTGAGCTCGTCGCCCGCGTGCAGCGTGAAGTTGTACACCTCGCTGTCCTCGCTGAACTCTCCCGACACCACCTGGGGATCCCGAACATGGTGAGGCCTCAGCCAGGACCCAGGGAAAGCCAGCCCTGGGAGGCTCTCCAGGACCCAGGAGGGCAGCCCCAGGGCTGAGACCAGACAAGAGCACTTGGGGGGGGGGGGGGGGGGTATCAGGGACCCACGTTCCACCCCAGAGAGGCCACATGGTTATCTCATCTAATAGCTTACTTGGAAAAGTTGCTCTAAGGATTAAATAGACTATGTATAGTGACATACTTTGAAAATATTCAATAAGTGATAACTTTTATCATTATCTTTATAATTTAGGTGATAATGCTCTACCCATTCAACAAGGCTACTGAGAAGAAGTAATGGATAAGAAAAGGGTTTATGAAGAGCTATCTGTACACAAGTGGGGGACTGTTTGCACTCTGTCCCCACCCCTCCACCACCCCTACCAGTGGATGCAAGGATACACTTCCCTGAAAGGTCTCCAAGTCAGGGCACGGCCCTCCACACACTTCCTCCTGCTTCATATCTTTTGCAGGAAGTTCTTCAGCCCAGAAGGTCATACATCCAGCTCATCTGTTGTGGTCCTTTTGTGCCAATGGCCCTCAAGAGGCAGTCAGAAGTGACACTGTGACACCTTCTGGACCCCACCAGGGTCAGAGTAGCTCTGAAGGGAAGGGGACAGCATGGGGGCACCATGCCTGGGACCAGAAGGACTGACCTTGACACTGAAGGTGATGGCTTCCATCACAAAGATGCGGTCAGGAAAGACGCTGGCCACCTCCTCCACGCTGCTGAAGTACCTCACTGGCTCCCGCACATCCCGGGCCTGCTCCAGGAGCTTGAACTTCCCTGCACAGGGGGAGATGCAGGCTGCTAGGGTGGGCCCACTTGCCGGGAGCCTGGCAAGAGACCTCGGGGCCCCCACGTATTGCTCCCCTCATCTCAGCCAGCCCCCCTGGCACTCAGGTGGGCAGAAGGGCAGGTTTGTAGCAGCGTGGGTCAACTGGCTCCGACCTCAGGGGGAGGTGAGCATAGAGCTCTAGCCACTAGCCCAGCCCTCACCCCATGGAGAGTTGTGGGTGTGTGCTGAGGCTAGCAGCTGCCTCCCCAGAGAAACCCAAGTGCAAACTAGAACCCACATACTTGGACGCAGAGTTGGTCTCTGACCGAACACCACTGGGGATGCTGGCGTGTAGCTTGGTCCCAGCCCCACTCTGGCTTGGTATGCCCATAGACAAGCCCCTTCTCCTCTCTGGGTCTCCAAGTCCTCATCTGAGGATGTGGGGGCAGATGATATTGGGCCCTACCTGGACCCGGCATGCTGTGCATCTACCAGGGGCTGCTGATCCACACTGATGCACTGGGCAGACCAGGGGCCCAGCCCCAGGCCTTGGAGGCCCAGGAAGAGCCACTCTGACCCCAGCTCTGTTCCCAGACCCTGCCCCTGTCCAACATTCAGCTCAACTGTCCCAGAGGCCTCTCATCTGAGCCCAGCAAAACCATCTGCCCCCTCTCCCCCTCCCTTCCCAACTTGCAGTCTAGGGCAATGCATGTTGGCTGGCTCAGCAGATGTCCCCAGTGGACTCAGACTTTAAAGAATGGTGAAAATTGCCCTAACCGGTTTGGCTCAGTGGATAGAGCGTCGGCCTGCGGATCAAGGGTCCCAGGTTCGATTCCGGTCAAGGGCATGTACCTTGGTTGTGGGCACATCCCCAGTGGGGAGTGTGCAGGAGGCAGCTGATTGATGTTTCTCTCTCATCGATGTTTCTAACTCTCTGTCCCTCTCCATTCCTCTCTGTAAAAAAAAATCAATAAAATATATTAAAAAAAAAAAAAAAAAAGAATGGTGATCATCAATACAGCGACCTCTGTGGAACTCTCTCACCTCACTGGCCCCACATGCTTTACGTGCCCACTGCGAACCGCCCTGACACCTGGACCGATGGCTTCTTCTCAGGCCTAACACAGAAGAGTGCTGTACAGGTGAGAGGGCAACCGGCTGAGAGAAGACAAGGTGACTCTTTAGCTTCTGTGGTCTTCCTGGTGGTTGCCTCAGTCATAGTCCATTCATTTGTTCATGCCATGAACACTTATGAAGCACCCACTGTGCGCTAGGCCCAACAGAGGCTGCAAACCTGGGCAAAATACAGTCTGCTTTCCAAGGTTTCCAGATACAGTGGAGGTGACAGTGCGCGCCCAATGATGGCAGCGCAATATGACAAGTGCGACAACAGACTCGTGACAAAAGCGCTAGATAGAGGACCACTGAGTTGGGGGAAAGCTGCCTGGCAGCTTGAAGGGATCTTAAGAGTGAAAGGAGTTTCACAGAATGGACCTGCCACGTGGAAGAAAGGGAAGGAGCAAAGGCAGAGCCACCAAAGCGGACGGCCCGCCCCACGTGGCGAGCGCCTGGAGGGTAGGACTGGAGGGAGGATGACAGGAGGTCAAACAGCTTCTTGCTCCCAAAGGCCCCGATGCTGAGAGGCTGTGGAAGGAGACTCGTCAGACCGGAGTGACTTATGAGGGTCCGGTGGGAAGGAAGGGACTCAGCCCACCGGCCTGGTCAGAAATGGAGCCAGCGGAGCTCTTAGGCAAAGCGAGACCCAGGGGTTTGGGTACCGGAGGGTATGGGGGGGGGGGGGCGGGGGATAAGTGGTGATGGATGGAGACTGGACTGGGGGTGACAGATGGTGCGTTGTAGAATTATGCACCTGAAACCTGTGCATCTTTGTGATGGAAGTTAACCAGTGTCACCCCAATAAATTCAATAAAAAGAGAAAAGAAAAGAAAAGCACCTGGAAACCTGGAAGAAGCAGGGTGTGGGGCAGCAGCTGGGGGAGCTGGTCAGAAGTACAGGCTGAAGGCCACCGGCCTACGGGAGCAGCTTCGGCTGGGGCAGGTAAGATGGCTCAGGGAAATGCCCACAGTGCACTCCTAGCATGAACACATACCACTTGGTATACAGTGCAAGGGGTTCCTGGGGCCCCTAAACCCAGAGGCAGCTCCCCCCGCACCCCAGTGCAGGGTATGAGGAGAAGGTCAAGGGCAGCGCCTACAGCACCAACACCTAGACGCAGGAAGAGAAATGAAAGCCAAGGAAAGGAGGGGACAATGCCCAGGGGAAAGTTGGGACAAGCCCCCCTAGTCCTACCCTAGCCAGTCTGAGACCCTGGTGGGAAGAGGCCTGGAATGGGCCACAGCCCTAGAGGGCAGAGGGACAAAGTGGGGAGGGGACCTGGCCGGAAGCAGTGACCTGCGGTCAGGAAGCGGCAATCAGGGTCTGCTACCATCCACCAGTGAGGGGCCCCCGCATCACCCCATCTCCTCCCCCATATCCACACACAACCCCCTCCCCCCATCACAAGCAGCCAGGCATGGAGAAATGCCCGCTGCCCCCTGTGGGGAGAGCTGGAGCCAAGTCAGGGCTGGAGCCAGGGGAGGATGTGGCAGGGAGGATCGATGTAACCATGGCAGCCAACGCCACCCCCGCCGCCCCCTCAGCTGCAGCCTGGAGCCCAGCATCGGTCATCGCTGCCGGGAGGAAAGAAGGGCGGCCTCCTTCCCAGGAGTGACGCTCCGGCCCCTGGAAGCCTTTTCCTCCCCCTGCAGCCTCCGGGGCAGCTTCCTCTCCTGCCTCCCTCTCCATGAGACCCGAGATCTCCGCGACTCTGGGGACCTGCTGACCCCGCCTGCCCCTCCCCCTGGCCGCCCGGAACAGGACTGTCCCTTCCAGCGAGAAGCAGTCTTTCCTATCACCCTCCTCCCAGACCTGACCCAGGCAGATGCTCATAAAGGGCAGGTAGATGCAGAGCGTGGAGTCAGGACAGGCCGGGCTGAGCCCCAGCTCTGCCACCACCCAGCTGTGTGAGTGACCTGGGCAAACTGTTTAATCTCTCCGGGCTTCGGGTTCCCGTCTGTAAAATGAAAGATGCTACTTAGCTCCCAGGGCTCATCTGCCGCTGCTCCACGCCCCGCCCCCCCTCGCCAACGCTGGGGAAGCAGCCCGGCCCCAGGCAGGGCATGGGGGGCTGTCTCAGAGGTGCCAGGTACCCCTACCCCCTGGGCAGTGGGCCCCGGGCAGCACCCCAAGCCCCGCAGCCCAACTCCCCTCCCCCACCATCGCGGTCCGAGGCCGGCTGCTCCCGCCCGCCCGCCCTATTATTAATTCATTAAGAGGAACCAGTGAGCTGTGCACTCAGCTTCCTCATTAACCCACCAGCCGGGCAGGCCCCTCTCCCTCCTAGGGGCCTGGACCTCCCTTCCCCCATCCGGGCAGGCCGGAGCCGCCCACCAGAAAGATGGAGTTGGGGCTGCGACATCCCTGCAGCCAGCTGTCACCCGGTGCGCCCTCCCCTCTACACACGCACTCGGGGAGCACCAGAAGGCATGGGGAAAGGGCTGGAGCCCCATAGTTCCCTAGAAGGCTCTATGCCCTGGTTTCCCAAATTTTTAATGACGCACACTGAAATGGCACAGTCCCTTAAGTCACACTTCAGTCCCCGAGGACGATTTCTAATCTTTGCTTTTTATCCCAAGAAGAAGACCTGGGACCTCTCCCAGGCTGGGAAGCTTCTGGCTGCAGCGAACCCCCTCCCGGGCTCCAGGCCCAGGCCCAGGTCCGAGAGACCCTGGAGCGTTTCCTAATCTTTTAAGCGGGGTGTGGGACTCCGGGGCACCAACCTCCCAGGGTAGTTTGTAAAGGGCCGAAGCAGGTAAAGGGCCGAGTCCTGTCCCACTGGCTTCGGGGGGACCCAGGCAGGGCCAGGGGGGGAACAGCGGTACCGTGAGAAAGGGGCTGTGAGCCTTCCCCGCCCAAAGGGTCCCCAACATCTGTTGGGGGTGGAGAGGAGGAGGTGGCAGTTAAGTCATAGAACTGGGCAAGCTACTGGCGCTCCAGGGGCCCGTTTTCCGTGTGTTACATGGAGTTGACAGGACTCTGTCACAGGTTCGCTGTGAGAATGTGTGGGGCGCGGTTAGGGTGTTTTGGCCAGGTTCAAGCCTCGGACTAATGAAAGGACAGGGTCCTCTCAATGCCACGTGCAAGTCCCAGCTGGAGGGCAGGGCCCGCCCAGCACAGTCATAGCCAGCGGCTGTGGTTGTAAGCTTGAACCTGTGGTCCAAACACGTGGCCCCACGTGCCTTGTGCTAGAGTTCGGGTGCATGTCGTTGAGTGAGGTTGAAACTCACGAGAATGCTGTAAACAACGTGATCACGCCCCTACTGTGCCTCGTGGCATCTGCTATAAAATAAAGACACGGCTTGTGGGCGCTGGCGCTGTCTCCTCATCAGGGAGCAGCGTCCCACCGAGACCCAGCTTTCATTCTCTTGTCTGTCTTTTCTCAATCCTTTCACCGCCCCCACTCAGGGTCACTGAACCAGGCTGAGCTGGCATGGCACATAAGGCGCCCTGGGGCTGAGTATGCCATGGCCGTGCCGGTTCCCCACAAGAATGAAGTGATGAAAGCGCTCAGCCCGGTGTCTGGAATGCTGTGGGATCCTGGGTTCCCATGGGGGCACCTCTGGAGGAGACCACCAGACCCCATCCCCCACACACAGGGGACAGCAGCCCTGCGTTCCTGGTGCAGTGCAGAATCTTACGTAAGATGTCAACATCATATAGAACACAAATCAAAGTAGAAGTTCATTAGCACAATCTTATTTGAAAGCCTAAAATTTTAACATTCACTTATAAAGTCCATCAATGAAAACAATTGGGAAAATCAAGACTAAAGTTGACAGGTGCAGTCAGATTATCAGCCTGAGCATCTCTTTGTTTGTGACGATTTTTAAAAATGTTTTTATTGATTTGAGAGAGAGAGAGGAAAAAAGAGAAACATTGATGTGAGAGAGACATATCAACTGGTTGCCTCCTGCACACACCCTGGCCTGGGGTGGGAGTGAACATGAAACCCGGGTAGGTGCCCTTGACCAGGAATCAAACCCAAGATCCTTCAGTGCAAGGGGGCGATGCTCTAATTGCTTAGCCACATTGGCTGGGCCATTTCTGAAGTTTTTTTGGTTGCACAGTACTGAGAAGATGCTGGCAGGAAATGTTCTGAGGATCTATACAAAAAAGGGTTAATGAGGCAGCTGGAGGTACAATACCAAAGGTCTCTAGCTAGGGTGAAGGTTAGATTTGTAGCATTTTAAAGAGTGTGGATATTTTTAAAATCTGTTTACAATCTATTTTAAAATAAAATGTGAATCAGAGGTTTGCAACCAGAGATCCAGGACTCTACACAAGAGTAGAAAAACCACTGGGCCCTAACTCCAACCCTAACCCTAGTCACCACCCTGCCAGCCCCGTCCTCACGCCTCCTGGGGCTCTAAGGAAAGGCTGGTCACCAACAGCTTCCCCCAAGCCTTCCCTACCCAGTACCCTCCCGCCTGCCGCCCCCACCAGCGTTACACCATCCGTCCCTGGCTGGCTCACCTGGGTACTGCAGGGGGATGTCAATCTTGGGCCCGATGACATAGTGGCCTTCCTCCAGGGTGTGAGCTGTCACTGTTGTCCACTGGCGGCAGGAGTGAATGAGCAGGATGTCTCGCTCACTGACGCCCTCAGCATACTCCCCTGGGAAGGGAAAGAAGGACAGAAGAGGACGGAGAGAAAAAGAGAACATTAGGAGGGCCAGAGAGAACAGGCAAGATAACCTCCTTACCTTCTCCCTAAGACCCTTCCTGAGGACAGCTCCCCATGGCCCCTGCCAGGTCAGCAATGCTCTAGGGCAGTGATGGTGAAGCTTTTGAGCTCGGCATGTCAGCATTTTGAAAAACCCTAACTTAACGCTGGTGCCGTGTCACATATAGAAATTTTTTTATATTTGCAACCATAGTAAAACAAAGACTTATATTTTTGATATTTATTTTATATATTTAAATGCCATTTAACAAAGAAAAATCAACCAAAAAAATGAGTTCGCATGTCACCTCTGACACGCGTGTCATAGGTTCGCCATCACTGCTCTAGGGACAGCCGGGCTGCCAGCTGTGGCCTCACAGCTGAGTCAAGGCCCTCTCTCAGAGCTCAGGCTCCCGATGTGGCCTCAGCAACCAGCCCAGACGCTGTTCTTCATTCATCATCTGATTGGACTGCCTGCTGTCCCAGGCCCTCCTAGCAGATGAGCCCAGTCCCTGCCCTCCAGGACCCCGTAGGCCTGGGGGGAAGTGGAAAGAGATGTGAACAGAGAATATAGGCAAGTGCGAGGCGCTGAGTGGAGGTTGTCTGGGCTCACAGAAGGGAGCAGCAAACTAGCTGAGGATGGGGTGAGGAAGGGAGACTACTGAGCAGCAGACACTTAAGCTGGGCCTCAGAACCACCAGAACTCACAGTAGCGGAATTCTCAGCCCCCATGTCAGTGCCCAGGCCAGGCCAGGCCAGGAGGGTCAGGCTGGAGAATGGAGAGAGTCCAGATGGGGCTGCCCATTGTAGGTCCAGCTGTGAGGGCCCCCCAGAGCCCCGAGTCACTCAGGCCAGGAGAACGGCAGGGCTTAGAGGAGCTGATTCCTGGGTCTTTTATGGGCAGCCCCTCTCCACCCCCTGCCACAGACAGGCTCCTCCCCTCGGGGGACTTCTGAGAAGAGGGGCGAATGTCTCAGACACCTATTAGCCCATCTCAGAGAAGCTGCTTCCTGGCTCTCCCCGTCAGCCCTTCCTGCTCCCAGCCTGTGGAACACCGCTGCGGTGGCTGGAGAAGGGGGTGGACTAGAAGCTGGAGGGGGCTAGTCCCGGGGAAGCAGCACTGGGCAGAGGTGCTGAGAGGGGCCTGGGCCCCGGCGGCTCCAACCCCAGCAACGGTTTCCAGGGGAGCCGCGGGCTGGCCCAGCTTGCAGGAGGCGGTGGAGCTGTCTCCTGGCTGCAGCTGGCGGGCAGGGTAGGGGGAGGATGCCTCCTTCCCAGCCCCCGCAGACACGACTCACTAACTGTCCAACCAAATGGGAAATGATTTACTCTGATGGCTGGGTGCTCCATGAAATCTGTGGATTTGTTGAAAGAGGGGTGGGAGGGATAGAATGTATTCAGGGCTGTGGGGAGACCTGGCTTTCCCGCTGTGTGTGGGTGTGGCCGGGATGGGGGGGGGGGGTCTGAGCCTTCCTCCTGGGCAGAGGAAGCTCTGCTACTCTGCACCCCACCTCTTAAAGCTCCCCTAAGCCCCAGCCCACCCTTCTGACACCCACTGCCATGATCATGGTCACCAACAGTGGAGCCAGCACAGCCACCCGGCCCACACCCCGATGACTCTACTCAATCCCATGGCCCCACTGAGGGGCCCCTTCCAAATGCATAAGGCACACGGGGACCTTCAAGACTTCCGGACACACTTTTGATCACATATTCACACTCACAGTGACCACAGCCACCAGGGTCATAGACAGCCGGGCCATCACACCAGTTGCTCATTCACTCATTCATTCATTCATTCATTCATTCAGCCGGTGGGTCAGTCTGGCCACAATCTTCGTTCGGCAGGATGCCCCCCTCAGGGAGCCTGCGGCCCAGTGTGAAAACAAGGCACTAACCATGGCATTGGGGGCGCACAGTGGGAGACAAGCCAGGGGTGCGAGGAGCATCCAGGGCGCGCAGAGGAGGCCCGAGCACAGTGAGGAGCCCCCGCCCCAGGAGCGGGAGCTGCCAGAGGACCGTGGGCAGCGGCCAGCATATTCCATGCGCTCGCGGACATACACAGCCTGCTGCCCACAGGACTGTCTCGGGATCACAAGCCGAGGGGCCGGGGAACGAGGCGCAGGGCTGCGGGGCACCCCTGTCCCACGATTCGGTGCGGTCCAGCCCCGGAGCCCGCTCCCGGTCGCCGGGAGGGGACAGCGGGGAGCCCGCGGCCGCGGCCCCATTAGCATGCAGGGAAGCGAGTGTGCCAAGGCGGCCAAACCCCTATTCTTCTCGCGCACAAAACCCCGGCCTGGCTGCCGGCCCCGCTCCCGCCCCTCCCCCGCCGGCCGCCCTCCTTCCCCAAACAGTCCCCTCGCCCCGCGCGGGGTCCCAGCAGCGGCGCGGCCTCGGCCCGGGCCCCGGGAGGAGCGGGGCCGGCAGCGGAGGGAGAGCCGGGGGTCGGGCACGCCCCGAGGGAGGGCCGCTCGCCCAGGGACCCCAGGGGCTCCCGGGGCGCAAAAGGAGGAGGCGAGAAGGGCCCCGGGAGGGACCGAGGGGGGCTGGGGGCGGCGGCGGGAGGACGGAGACCGAGCCCCGGGGTGCGGGGGATGGAGGGCAAAGGGGGAGACAAAGGGACGGGGGGGCGCAGCCGGGAGGGGGTCTGCGGGCGACGGGAAAGGCACTGCACCGACGGGGCGGGCGCGGCGGCCGGCCGGGCTCTGGGTCCCAGCTGGGCCAGAGGACACTGTCCCGGCCCGGCCCGCTCCCTCCCGGTCCGGGTCTCTGTCTCCGCCCGTCTGCAGGGCCAGGACGAGGCGGACGTCCGGCTCGGGGACCCCCGGCCCCCCGACCCCCGCGAAGGTGCGCCGGGAGCTGCGCGGGCGCCCGGGGAGGCGGCGGGCGGGCAGCTCCGCCGGCCCCGCGGCACCTGCTTGGGAGCCCCCGCCCCCGGCGGCCCCCGGCGTCCTCCCCAGCACCCCCGGTACCTGGCCCGAGGCAGGCGAGCGTGGGCAGGCGGCAGCGGCTGACGATGAGGTCCAGCGGGAAGGCGCCCATGCTCCAGCGCAGGCCGGCCAGCCCGGCCGCCAGCTTCTCCATGGCATGCGCGCCCCGACGGCGGCCGGTCCCGCGCGGCCCGGGCTGCGCGCCCGCCGCCACCTCCGGGGGCCGCCGCGCTCCCCGCCTGGCCGCCCGGCCGGGCCGCGAGCATCACGTGGCCGGACTCCCCGCGGGGCGCCGGCCCCCGCCCCTCGCCCCACCCCCCGGCCCGCTCCCGGGCCTCCGCCAAGTCCCGCCTCCCCGCCGGGGCCCGCGGCCCGCCCTCCGCGAGCGCGCAGGTGACCGCGGGGACCGAGGATCCGGGCGCGAGCCTGGAGAGGAAGGCGAGGGGCGAAGCGGCATCTGCGGGGTCGGGGGGTGGGGGTCGGCCTCCCCGCCCCGCCGAGTGGGTCCGGACCCCCTTCCCCGCCGGGAGCGGCGCCCGTCTTCACCCCCTGGTGCCAGGGCCTCCGGGAGTCGCCGCCCAGGACCCGCTTCGCTCCCCAATTCCTGCCCCGAATCCACCCGCTGCCTCTGGGACATCGATCGTCTCCAGCCTCACAGCCCGGCGAGGCCGCCTCACTAACCCATTTACTGATGAGCAAACTGAGGCTCCACCGACGTCAAGTGGCAGCCGAGACTTGGCCCCGAGGTTCGACTGCAAATCCTCCTGCTTTCCCCGGCGGCCGCCGCCGGCCCGGCCCCCGCAGGGGGGCAGTTTGCACGCTCCCAGCGCGCCCCGGCCGATGGGCACCGGAGCGGCAGCGCACACCCCGGGACAAGCTCTCATCCCGCCAGCGGGGAACGGAGGTGCGGGTGTGACCCGCTGGAGTCCTCTCTCGGGCGGCCCCTTCTCTTAATTTGCTCTCCCTTTTCTGTTCTCCGCACCTCCTCCTTCCAACCCCTGTTTTCTTGGGCTCCATCCTCCCCGAAAGCCCATCCCAGAAGCTGCGGCGGCCTGGGCCTTGTCACCGGGACGGAGGACTCCCTTCCTCCCGGGTGTGTCTGCAGCGCCTCCTGCAGGCGATCGGGGGCTGGTGCAGGCCTGTGTGTCCCGCAAGAAGCGGAAAGGCTCCATGGTCTAGTCCTCAGCCTACACACACACACACACACACCCCAAGAGGAATGACACCAGACAAGATGAACACAGCTTCTCAGCAAGAGGAGACACAGTTCAGGTCATTGTTCAGTCTCCATCTTTCGCGGAGGAAAGAAACCAAGTCTCCAAGAGCAGAAATGCTTTGCTCGAAGGTCACACCCAAGGAAGAAGCAGAGCCGAGACGGGATGCCTCCCAGTCAGTGCTAACTCCAAACCGGGCCTGGCCCAGAACACCCACAGGGGGAGGGCTTTCTCCTCCTGCACCCCCACAGAGGTGCGACTTTGGGGTAACCTGGATGGACAATAGACCTAAGCTCACCTGGGTCTGTGGGGGGTGGACGTGGGTTCTTCCCTAGGGATATGGCCAAAATCAAGGCTTTATCCTGCCCTGACGGGTTTGGCTCAGTGGATAGAGCGTGGGCCCTCGGACTGAAGAGTCACAGGTTCGATTCTGGTCAGGGCACCTACCTCGGTTGCAGGCTCCTCCCTGTCCAGGCCTCATAGGGGGGCAACAAATCGGTTGCAGACTCCTCCCCATAAAATAATGACAAAGTCTTTTCAACCAATGGTGCTGGAATAACAGGACATCCACATGGAAAAAAAAAAATTCTAGACACAGACCTTACACCCTTCACAAAAATTATTTCAGAATGGACATAGATCTAAATATAAAATACAAAACCATAGAACTTGTAGAAGATAACGTAAGAGAAAATCTAAATGAACGTGAGTTGGGCAATGACTTTTTAGATACATCAAAAGCACAATCCATAAAAAATTGACAAGTCGGACTTCATTAAAATTTAAAACTTCTGCTTTTGCATGGCTTGGACAATATTCCTGGATCTGAGCGTTAGCTTCCTTCCCCAGATTTAAGATCTGAGGCCGAGTGTGGTCTGTGAGAGGTCAGAATGGGGATGGGGCCATAGGGGACATTCTGGGGGCTTTAGTTTTCATTCTGAGTGAGACAGGAAGCCTTTGACGTATTTTCAGAAGAACAGTGACCTGATCTAAATGTTTTCAGGATCATTCTGTCTGCCGCGTTGTGAAGAGCCTGTGGGTGAGGGCTCTTTGGTTACTAATTGCTGGAAACGATGGACATGGACTCGGCAGAGCTGTGGCGGTGATGAGATGTGGTGGGTTCTGGGTATGTCTTGAAGGTAGAACCAATGGGATTTGCTGATGAATTGGATGTGAGGTACGGGAGAAAGAGATCTGAAGGTGGTTAGAGCAGTTGGTAGGATGGCACTGCAGGTGGAGAAGGCTGTGGGGAAGCGTGGGGTGGGAGTCAGGGGTTTGTTTTGGGCCAGTTGAACCAGTGGGCAGTCATGAGGACATACATGGCTTCTAAAGACCAGAATTTGGATGAAGTTCCCTGGGGCCTGAGTGTAGACAAAGGGGAGATGGGGGTCTCCTAACTGAGTTCTGAGACACTGCAACACTTAGTGGTCAAGAAGATGAAGAAGGCACAGCAAGACTGAGGAGGACGAGTGAGGTAGGTAGAAAGCCGTGTCCTGGAAGGCAGGTGGAGGAAAGGAAATGTTTTAGGAAGGAGAGGGATTCAGTGAGCCAGCGTCTCCCATTTAGCACCACTCTGACCTTGGCAAGAGCTATCCTGACGCGGTGGTGGGGTGAGGCCCTAATTTGAACCGACAGAAGAGGGAATGCAGGGGAAGGATTGCAGATTCGAATACAGACAGCTCTTTCAGGGAGTTTGCTGTAAAAGGGAGCAGAGAAATGGGTGGGAGCTGGGGGGGGGGGGGGGTCCTGGGATCTAGGGAGAGTGCTTTTATTTTTGGTATTAAAGAGATTTCAGCCTGTTTCAAGCCGTTGTTTCTCCTACTCATGTGTGAAATACTGTGCCCTTAAAAAGAGATTTCCCCAGTAATGTTGTATGAGAGAGAGAGAGAGAGAGAGAGAGAGAGAGAGAGAGAGAGAGAGGCCTTCTATTCTAAATGGGGTTTGGAGCAACTTCTGTAGAAAGCATTTTCTTTCAGAATCACCCAGTTTTGTCAACACTAAAAATTTACCTGCAGAAACAACTTCCTCTTTAATACTATAGCCAGTTTAAAAAGCGAAGGGCTTCACATCACATGGCGCCTGCACCTCATCTGCTAGTTCTGCTGCAAGTGCAGAGGCCTGAGATGGAGGAAACAGCCTTGATGGGGAGCAGAGCGGCTGGGCTGCCCCAGCTCAGTCACCATCCGCTGGGATCCTGAGCATGTCGGGTTGCATCGCTGGGTGTCTGTAAATCAAAGCACCAAAGTGTGGTTTCTCAGTGACCTATTTGTCCTTGCTTTCTTGAGCACTGGGCTATGCACTTTAATTTATATTTACCCTGTATTTTCAGATGCCTGCAGCGGGGAAGGGAAGCTGGTCGGCCTTACTGTCGGACCTAAAGCACACATGTGAAGCTTGATCAACTGTCACTCATTCACTCACTCACTCAACATTATTTATTGGACACCTACTCTGTGCCAGGAACAGGTAGGCCGAGGGACCCAGCGGTAAACAAGACAGGTTTTACCCCTGCTCTCAGAGAGCCTTCTCCCTACCTGATAAAAAAGCGTCCTCATTATTTGCACATGGTCCATCAGCTGTAACACATCAGCACCACCTCCCCCACTTGTTTTCCTGGAGGCCACGGCTTCCAGTTCCTCTCCAGACTGGTTACTTCCTAGGCCAGCTGCACGCCCTCCAGGGCTGGTTTCCTGGGGCCCGGGGCTCCCTCTTCCTCACGGTCCTTTCCCCTGTTGCTGGAGAAAGTCCGCTAATAGATTCCTGCGCAGGCGAACAAGGGAAGACAGCATTCACCTGGGTACATGTTTCCTACTTGACAAGTAATTCGAAGGAGAACAGAATTTTACAGGGAAAAGCCTTTTCACTCACAATTTTAACGCTATTGCCCCATTGTTTTCTAGCTCTCTGCATTACTTTAAGAAAATTTACACCATTTAGGCTCATGATTCTTTGTATGTGACCTATTGTTGTCCCTCTGGGTGCCTTTAAAATATTTTTTTAATCTCTTCTTTTATCCCTGGAGTTCTGAGATGCCATGATAGCAGTCCTTGGTGCAGGAACTCTCTCTCTCTCTCTCTCCTCTCTCTCTCTCTCTCTCTCTCTCTCTCTCTCTGTGTGTGTGTGTGTGTGTGTGTGTGTGTGTGTGTGTGTGTGTTGGCACAGGCCAGGCCCCTTCAATCTGGAAACCAGTATTCCTCAATTCTGGGAGTTTTCCTTATATTCTCTTTCCCATCATCACCTTCCTTCCGCTTTCTTCTCTGTTTTCTTCTTCTGGACCTCTAGTGAATCAAAAAAATTTGACCTTTGGAATAGCTCTCTACATTTCTTATCAATTCCTCCTCTTTTCCAGCTCCTTTTGTTGGTCTGTGTGTTTTACTTTCTGGGACATTTCCTTGACTTTTCTAATTCTTCTCTTAAATCTTTTATTTCCATTGACAGTTCTTATTTTAGTGAATTCTATCTCATTCTTTGTGTGTTTTTGTACTAAATCCATTAAATATTAAATCCATCCTATTTTTACCTTATGGATTTAATATTATGGCATATCCAAGAATATTAATTAAAGTGAGTTCAGGGATTTTCATTGGTTTTCTGCATTTTTTTTGTTTCCTTTTTTTGTTAGTTGTTTATTCTCTCTCTCTCTTTTTAAATATATATATATATATATATATATATATATATATATATATATATATATATATTATTGGTTTCAGAGAGGAAGGGAGAGGGAGAGAGAGCTAGAAACATCAATGATGAGGGAGAATCATTGGTTGGCTGCCTCCTGCACACCCCCTACTGGGGATTGAGCCTGCAACCCAGGCATGTGCCCTTGACCAGAATCAAACCCAGGACCCTTCAGTCCACAGGCCGATGCTCTGTCCACTGAGCCAAACCGGCTAGGGCTTCATTCTCTCTTTTATGTTAAGGTGGAAGCACATGGCCCATCCGCTGTAACATACAGCTCTAAGGTGAAGAACTGAAGGTCTGACTGAATGCAAATATCTGCTAAATATGGGTGTCAGGTGTGTGGATTTTTCTTAGTTTT